GCATGGGGGGGGGGGGCAGGATGGCACGTGCTCAGATCTGTGCTCAGAGTAACGGTGGGATGCCGTTGCAGGCTTTGCTCTGGTTGCCAAACTTTCTTACCACAGCACTGAGTACTAGACTGGCTTAGGAGAAGGAATCCAAAGGAGATTCTTGCTTAAAGCATCAAGCAGGCCTATGTGGACATGGCATTAATGTAGTTCACGAATAAATCAGTTTCAGTCCTGAAATATGGATGATGATCAAATGTAGATATTATGTTTTTACACCATTTCTATGATTTTTTAAAATGTAATACTTCACAAACTGCTTGTCATTTATCAGGCATGTGGAGTTATGTTCAAATTAAGGAACTCCCCATCCATGAACATGAGCTATTGCAAAGTTGGAATAATGTGTTTTAAAAGAAAAAACTCTCTCACCTGGGATCTTCAAGTAATCAATCACAAAAGATTGGGTCTTAGTTTCTAGTCTGTCTTTTTAACAACTTGGAAACAACAAGTCACGTCATTACATAATCAGAAACCTCAACCCTTAAAGCAATCTTTCACACATTACTTTTACACTAATCCATAAATATAATGAGCAATCAGTGCCCACAATGGTGCCTTTCTGTCTGTCTGAAACCACTCTCCTACTGAAAAAAAATCCAGTCTCTGAGTGCTAATAAATAAATCAGTCAGGCTTGCTTGGTTTCACTGGTCCTTGAATATCTGAATTGCTTACCAATCCATATATTTTTATGAGCAAATATTTGGCTTAGAAAGAAGCATTTTGAGGGAGACATATTTCAGACTGCAAATGACTACCTTTTCTGTTAGTCTAAATGATGTATATTATATTAGAAATGTCATTAATGAACAAACATATGCCTAAGGTTACTAGAATCAGCTTTACTGCAAAGCACTCTATCAACAAGCATTAATTTTCCATCAGAAAGCACATTTGCTTAATAAAATAATTATGTGGAAGAATTACAACTGGACTCATAATGTATTGATACATCAATAATGCCTGGATTGAAATAAAAGCTGCCATCAACTACTTTTTATTTTAGCTGCCCTGCAGTATCATACTTATTTTATTACATCCATATCACCTGCAGTAGAATGGTCTTGAATTACATATGGCTTTTCCATATCACAAATTTCCATTTAATCAGAAACACATTTTGACTTGCATTCATTACTGAGGCAATATGAGAGATTCTCGGAGAATCTTCTACATTGTTTTGAACCCAGTTCAGTGGGCACATTTAGGACCTCTCAGGATAAGACCTTTTGTTCTTTAACTAATCAGACTGCTAACAAAGCAAAAAATCTAGGTAACACATTTAAAGGCTGACTTGCCATAGCTGGACACCATCTCATTTGTACTACATGCTTGGTCCAGCTGTAGGAAAATGCTAGTGGGCAATCACAGGCAAAAAAATAAATAAATAAATCAAGATTTGCACAGTGCAGATATTCAGCACTGCTTCTTACTTGTTGCAGAGGGAATTTAGGAGAGACACCACCTGTTACCCCAGATGTTTATATTAATGACTCTTTAAAAGACAATTAACCTGTTAATCAACAAGTCTTGTGTTCCAAGTTTCTAATTAATAGATACTTTAAGTAAAAAAAAACAAAAAAGGCCACAAATAAAAACCTTACAGAATTACATATCCACACCAGTTACACTAGTCTGTGAGAAGTACAGATACCGTTAACAATTCTGTGATCTCACCAGTTTGGCTCAGTGGATATTATTCCATTTGCATCAGAACATAAATGAAAGCCCCATGGTGAAACACAGTGAAATCCAGGAGATTGTGAAGTGCTGCGTTTCACACACTATTTCATAAAAGCAACATTTCATTTAAGATATTAAATAATTCTTTGTTCCCTTTCCAAAAGGGTTTCTTGACATCAAGAATGCCAATTCTCTATGGACTTAGTTCTCTTTGTGGTTTTCTCTGCTCTAACTCTGACTTTAACAGTGACATGAAATTCTGAATTTCCATGCCAAGAAATTAAAGAAAATTTACCATGCTTGTTCTATTACATCTATTTCCATATGCTTCACTGAACCCAGGGTGCGTCATATATATAAACTCTATGACTGTTCATTCTTCCCACCACTTCTAAGTGGGATGAAAGTCAAATCATGAAAGTGTTAATTTGACACTTCTTTCTATTTACCTGTATTTTTGTAACTTTGGAAAAGAAAAATAAATAAAAAAGAATGACCAGCAGTGGATATACCATAAGAGCCCTATCCTACAAAGACTTTTCTATATGTTTAAGTTTGTGCACTACACATATTCCCATTAGAGGGCCTAATTACATGCTTATATGTTTGCAGGATAGAAGCCTATATAAATATTTCTTCCATTAAATTAGAAAAAGTAGGCCAACTTTTTTTTCTTTAGGGGGGAAAGAAAAACTGGGTGCTTACCAACATATGTCTATTTGGAACCCTGTACATATTTGCCAGTTGTGTTCATTTATAACAGGGAAAAAGAGCCTCTTGTTTAAAAAAAAGAGGATGTAGTTCCATTTGTGTACCTATAACAAGGTTCCTTAGTTGTACATGGGGTGAACAAACAAATATGCAACCAATGGAAATTACAGTACTGTTTCAGTTTGTATTTCTCCACATGCTACCTTAAGTACTGGCCGATGCTACTAGACACTAGTACTGTACTCTCCCACACTATCATCCTGACCATGGTAGCAAGAAGGCAGACACAACCATTTTATATGTTGGGAAAAAATGTCAGTTTGTGACATGGCCTGTTTAACATAAGCCTTGCACAAACTGAGTGCATGTTGATTATATAGATTTTGCAAGAAAGTGCTCAGCCTCATTTAAAACACTGTGGTTTTCTAGTCAGAGAGAAACTCATGTAAGCTGTTAAGTATGAGATGACTGCTTCGATCATAGAGCTAGACTGCTTCAACTGGATATCCTCTTTTCCATGCAATTTCCATCCTCCTTTTTTTCTTCAAAATCCTCCCTTATTTTTTTTGTTACTGTTTTTCCCCCCCCTCCTGTTTTTTCTTGTTTTATCCTAAGTAGAACCTTAATCCAGTTATTTAAGCTCCAAGCCAGACTTTAACCTGCAGAATTTAAAATTATTCAAAATTGACCATACCCAATAGATTTCCACCAGCTGAAATACATCTCAAGCTCTCAGACATAAGTGAACTGTTTGGCTTAGATACATTAACATACAGTACTCTTTTCAATACCCCTTTGTTACTTAATTTTGTCTGCACACACCTAGAATAAATTGATAGTGTATGTGATTGCAACAGGTGAACACTCCTGGGATCCCACCTCATCATGCCCTCTACCAGTAGCTATAGCACTTGCTGGGAACATGTATAAACAAGCTAGGAAAGACTCAGTTCTCAAATCCCATGTTCAGTATTTGAGTTGGCAAAGTCTAGGGTCCAAACAGAAGTGACATTTCTAGCAGGTGTGGGGGCAGAAAAATGCTATTTACCATCAAAAGTAATAAAATGACCAATTTAAGGAGCAGCATTGATTGACTATAAAGGGAATCTGATCTATTTTTAATATGACTATGCTACATGGTTGTGATGTGGAAATGAATGACAAGAGTTCAACCACTGAAGATCAATTTCTTGCGGTACAGAAAAAGTGAAGAGACCTTAAGGTTTATTTCAGAAGCACCACTGCTAAAATACATAGAATGTCTTTATCTTTTTAAAGCTATGTCAAAAGAGATAGCAAGCCCTCAGTTATCAAAAATAAAGAAAGCCAAATAGTTACTGCTGTAGAACATATAACTCAATGAAAAGTTGAGCGTATTAAAGTTCTCTCTTGCATGCATATTGGGCCGCCTCATTCTAGACTTAACAGGAAAATTCATTCATCCACTACCTGTTCAATGTGACTTGGCTGTCACAGCTTTTTCTTCCATTTACATTAATGAAAGAGTTTGTGTTCACAATCTGTAAGCTGTGTTAAAAGTCATGAAGGTATAATGGAAAAGAAGAGAAAGAAACTAAGACTGATGATGAAGGCAAGTCATGTTCCTTTTTTTCACGTGTGGGTGTGCATAACAAAAAGCTACTTGAGTTTGTATTTACAAATTCCCTTCCCCCTCTCCCCCAAAGTCTCAAAGCACAGCTTCAGGACAATAAGGCATTTTAAAAAAATCATCTATCTAGTACATACACAAGGAGATAGCCTGAAGCTATAAACTGATTTTAACAGACAGTTTAAATCCATGCCCACCTGTACACATGAGTTTCTATAAATCTTCCCCCTCTTTCAGGTTTGCTTACATTAATTTCTTTCCTGAACAGACACCAACTTTATATCTTCTGATCAGGGTAATGAGCTCCACCTGTTCCCTCTGACTGGGCCAGAAACACAGATGCCTCCCCTCAGCTGAAACCAGCTGGAGAAATGCACAGCTGCACTTTCATGGCCTTTCCTATAGCTACTTGTTGATTTCCTAGGATATAAATTAAGAGCCCAAAAGAGTACTCCCAAAAGCATCAAAGGGTTGAAAACTCGTATGTTGTGACAACTTTAGATGGGGCTAGGAAAAGGAAAAGTACCAGTCAACCACTAGACAGAAGCCAAAAATAAGTGTGCTTGCTTTTTCTAGAATGGGGGGAGAGGGAAGGCAACTTTTTTGGCAGGTATGCCACCCTCTTCAAGTACCACTCTGATTCCTTTCCCTTACATGCTCTCCTGTTCTTCTTTCTGCTTCCTGTCTGATCTGAAGCTCTGATTTCTGTTTCTTGTCCTGCCACTGTGCTGCATATGCCACTTGCAGCACCCCTGTTCTGGAGCATGGGTTGACAAGCTGCAACCTGCAAAACCATTGGATCCGGTCCACAGACATAGGGCTTTGGCATCATTGAGCAGCTGGGTGCTTTAATGGTGGGCATTTTCCCCATGCTGCTGCAGGAAGCAGCACTGGCTGTGGGCAGGTCCTAGAGCCCATCTGTCTCTGACCCAAGGTGGGTCATTTCAGCCCATAGCAGGAAAAAAGTTACCTACTGCTGTTCTACAGTCTCTATGGCATTACTCATAGAGTGCACAGAGAATCATAGTTGAAAGCAATCTTTCAGTATTAAGCTAGATTTGGGGGCTTTATAAATAACTCTGGATTTATTTAAATTCGCTGACAAAGCATGAACCAAGAAAAATGCACAGTAAAAACGCACCTAATTTTCTTCCCCACCCCTTTCCCTATGTAAATACAGATGTTATAAAGATAGCTACTATAAGTACCCATCAGCCCTGTTCCTAAAGTCCTAAATCCACAAATGAGATTTCAATGTGACGCTGGAGAACTGATTTCTGGGTACCCAGCCAGCTACTGAATTCCTCAAATTCTGTTTAGCACCCAGGTTCTCCCTTCAGTGCTAGGGATCCCCAGAAGTCAGAAAGCTGAATTAGGAAACTCAAAATTTGCCAGTAGGAAATGGTAAGGAGAGGTAGTCAGGAATGGGGTAATTTAAACCCCCAAAACCACTTGGGCTGTTGGCTTTAAGTGACCATCTGGCTGGCCCAGGAAACATTTATCTAGTCTATGTGAAATGGAACATATTCAACAGGAAAGATTAAGAGCATTCTCATATACAGCTTGCTATATGAGAACGTTCACCTGGAAAGAGGGAAGTTCAGGTCTCTCTTGTCCTGGATTAATGCTCTACCATTCTTCCTAAAGACTTAAAGTGGCAACAGCAGCTGGCTCTAGCTCCAAGCCAGGGAATCCCAGCTGGTGTGAATCCCAATTGGAAAGTGGTTTCTCTGCGGACTCCAGTGGCATCTAGGGCATTTTTACATTTGTTTTGGGACATGGCACTGGGTGTTTTAATTAGCAAGCTGTGCTAATTAAAAGTACTTGTGCATTGTGAGCATCAGCATCCCCACAATGAAAAAATGGTAGTGGGGCACCTTGAAATAAAACTCATTTGATGAGCTTTATTTCAAAATGCCCTGCTGCCATTTTTTCAGTGCAGAGATGCAGATACATGTGACACAGAAGTCTGCCAGAGCATGTCAATTTCCATGCTTCAACAGACTCGATAAATCGAGTCTGGTCTGATGCACTGGTCTTCCAATGGATTGGAGCAGGTTCTGTGCATGTTTGTAGGAGCCACTAAATCCCAGGGAAGAGTAGGATTTAGGCCTACTGGTTTTCCTCTGTGTTTTGTTAGCTAGTTTAGGCATCTCCACAAAGCATGCTGGCTTTGTAGATGCCATTCTCAGTGCTGTAATTGCTCCATACATTATATAGGGAGCACAGGAGTCTAATACAGGGATATGGACAGACAAGGTTCTTTGGGTGAATCTGATATCTTTTATTAGACCAGCTAAATAGTTGGAGAAAAATTTTTAAGCAAGCTTTCAGGTTCAAAAACCCTTCGTCAGGCTAAGGAAGTTTCAGCAGTTGGCGTGTGCTCTTCCTGGATGGAATGAAAAGCAAAGAAGCCAGAGGCTGAGCTGGTATGCATACAAGACAGGTAGTCAGTGAAAATGTAGATTGAGGAGTGAATGGGTAGAGACAGGCTGGGTGGGGGGAAGAAGGGGGATGAATAGTGAAGAAGTACTTGGGAAGTCAACTGTCAGGCAGGTTATAATGTGTCATAAATCCAATGTCTATATTTAGTCCAGGATTTTTAGTGTCCAGGAGGCTGATGAAGTGGAGCTCATAGGCTCATTTCTGGGAAGTGTTTTGTAAGTTTCCTTTGAGGATCAGGACTGAGAGGTTGGAGAGAGAGTGGTTTTCTTGTGAGGAAATGTGTCCCCACAGGTAATTGGGTATTCCTGTCTTAGATAGATTTCTGGTGTGCATTCATTCTGGTGCGCAGTTGTTGTTTGGTCTCTTTTACGTATTTTCCACCTAGGCATTTGGTGCATTGGATGAGATACAGCTGCACCTCCAGAAATGTAGTGTAAGATCCAGGAATGCTGATGGCTCTGTTGTGGGATGTAGTGATTGTGGGGGTGGTGGAGGTGTGTTGGCAGGTTTTGCATTTCTTGTCATGGCATGGTCTGGATCCATTTGGTGTGTTCTGGGTCTGAGGAAGTTTGCTTCTGGTGATGAGGTTGGCAAGGTTTGGTGCTTGTTTGAAAGCTAGGATTGGTGGCTCTGGGAAGATCTCTTTAAGAATAGGGTCTCTTTCTCATATGGGTTGCAATTGTTTGAGGATTTTCCATTCAGGTTTGAGGGAGGAGTGATATGTCATAACCAGCGGTGTACAATTTGGGGGGGGGAGTTCTGTACTGCAGCAGTTCTTCACTTGGTATCTGGGTGGCTCTTTCAAATGTATGATTTCTCTCTCAGTGAAAGCCTTTTTAAGATTGGTGAGGTGGCAATCCCAGGTGTTCTCTTCAGTGCAAATTCGGTGGTATCTAAGGGCTTGACTGTATATCACAGCTTTTTTGGTGTGTTTAGGGTGATTGCTGGTTCTGTGCAGATATGTATGTTGGTCTGTGGGTTTCTTGTATAACGTGGTCTGTAATTTATCATTCTGGATACTGATCATCGTGTCTAAAAGGGAGATGTTTTTAGTTTAGTTTAGACCAACTTTTTAGTTGGTCTAATAAAAAATATCAGATTCACCCAAAGAACCTTGTCTGCCTGTGTCCTTAGACCAACACTGCTACAACCTACACTCCTGTAATATGGGGATATGGATTCTATTAGGTGGCAAAGGGGTAAATGCAAAATGTAGACACCTATTGAGTTCTAGCTGTCTAGTTTACAAAGAACAATCCAAATTGATCCTGATTCATGGGCACAATCACCTAGATTTATTTGGAATCTTCATTTTGGGCTTGAAGTTTCCTTAGGCACCTAGACTCGGGCTGCTGTGCATGGTCCAGACCAGCCCCTAGATAACTGACTTCCACTGGAACTCTATTACAATCCTCATCAGTACTAGGAGGCATCAGGGTAGGGACTGGGCACTCTGAGCACCTGTGTGATGATGACAATATGTATGCAACTCAATACAAAATACAGGGGGAGGTGCCTAGCTTTCTCCAGTAGACTGTTGATTCCACACCAAACTCATCCTAAGGGGATGCAAACCCATATCTCGCCTCCCAAGGAAGTGATCTGACCACCAGCCTAAGGTATAAACTGAGTAGATGTGGAAGTTGAGGAGGAGGCAATCCTTTTCTGTTGAAGGTGTTCCACTTAGCAACAAATTGCTCAGTGAGTACAAGATCCTTGGGGCCAATGAAAGTCTAATGTAAAACAAAAATCCTGGGCTCGGAACTGAGCACTTCTGCCTTCCAGGGAACTGCTGTTCTACCGACTTATGCAATCATACTCCTTCTGGCTCACAAAATTGACTGTTTGCATTTATAAGTGCTCTTCGTACTAAGCTGTTGAGCAAAATATGCGTATCACCATTAGGGCTGTCTGAGGCTTTGGACCATGCTTCAGATCCAGAGAAGATTCAGATACTTTGGTTGCCAAAGCAGCATGCCCTGATCGAAATGCTGGCTTCTTTAGGCTTTCCAAAGCGGTTTGGAGTTTCTGAACCACTTTGGAAAAGCTTTGGAGCTTTTTGGGAGATCTGGCCATAGGGTATAATGGGGAACCAATGAAATATCAATAACATTGTTGTTTTTTGTCTGATTCAGATGAATCTTGCAGGAGTGGCAGCCTCTGCTGACAACATGATGCCTGCCAGGTTTCAAAAAGATAGGTGCAGGGACTTGGGGGAAACTGCACCCCTAATTCTTGAAAGCAAAACTCATGTCACCTGTATGTGTTATGCCACAGGAGGGTGAAAACTGCAGGGGTGGTGGCCCCTGCTGAGACCATGAAGCCTGCCAAGCTTCAAGGAGGTAGGTGCAGGGGTTTGGGGAAAACTGCACCTCAAGCTGAGGACAAGCAAAACTCATGACATGGGTAACACTCTGTGTGTTAAGGCACAGCAGGGTGAAAACTGCAGGCCTGGTAGCCCCTGCTGAGGCCACAAAGCCTGCCAGCTGTCAAGGAGATAGGTGCAGGGCTTCTGGGTTCTGGGGCCCTGCACACCTAGCTGCTGACAGGCAAAACTCCTGACATAGGTGCTTGTGCAACTGTGTCTGACTTGGGGTGTGAGGTGGGGGAACTACTGCAGGCCTGGCTGCTAAATTGCTGTGTTACTAGTTACCAGTCAATCATGAGTCACTCAGGGACATACTCTTTACACAGTTGCTAGCTAATGTAATGAGTTAACTAGCAATGATTAACACCTACAAAACCACAGACTAAGGAGAGGAAAGAATCAATACAGACAATCAACTGCCCCAAGACAGAGACAGTCAGTTGCACAAGCACCCATGTCACGAGTTTTGCGTGTCAGCATCTAGGGGTACAGGGCCCCAGAACCCCCTGCACCTATCTCTTTGACAGCTGGCAGGTGTCACGGCCTCAGCAGGGGCTAGCAGGCCTGAAGTTTTTACTCTGCTGTGCCTTAACACACACAGTGTCACTCATGTCATGAGTTTTGCCTGCTAGCAGCCACAGGTGCAAGGCCTCAGAAGCCAGACTCCCCTTGCACCTATCACCTTGAAACTTGGCAGACTTTGTGGCCTCAGCAGGGGTGACCATCCCCACAGTTTTCACCCTGCTGTGGTGTAACACATACACGTGACATTAGTTTTGCTTTCAAGAATTTGGGGTGCAGTTCCCCCTGAAGTCCTGCA